GATGTAAGAAACAAAAAACAAACAAATTAACCAGCTTTGGCATTATTATAAATTTTTAAATATGTTAGTTATGATTGAATAACATGCAACTACTAGGAAAAGAAAATGAAGTTGATGCAGAAATCTTAGTCCTATTTTTATCGAATAAAAATTCCTAGCAGAAACAGAAAGTTAGCAAAATATTGAAAAGAGAAATTTCCTAACTTGACTAATTCTTATGGAAAGAAAATGAATCAAAATCTGTTCTTATTTCTATGGCTGAGATAAGTGCATATTTTTTGCAAGAATTCTAGTTTATTTCTATTAAAATCTCCCTCAGAGGCCAACACCCAAATGTAGGGCATGGGCAGAGTTTAAGCAGAAAGGGTAAGGAAAAGAAGGGGCGTATGGGTGGGAAGGATGGAGAGAAGGACTGCCTTGTGAAGTGATTGCCCAAAATAACTGATAAGTGGCAATAATGTAGTGTCCACAAACATGTATACAAAATACAGTGGGGTACTACCAATAATACTTCACAAAAGCACCATGGCCAACCTTTTAGCATGCCCAGATTAGGTTACCTGCAATAAGATGCGAACAAGCTCTGTGCTCCCAAATCGTGAAGCTTCAAGAAAACATTGGTTGACATTGTCTGTACCACCCTCAACCAGCATGCCCAGCAATCCTTGGATAGCAATTGCTGATATACCAGATGCCCAACCAGGATCAAATGAACTAGAGAAAAGTGTAATTGGGAAGCAAGCTGCATCAAATGCTTCCGTAAAATCCTTCCCCGTAAGATGGTTGCCAGCAAGATCTAGAAAGGTCTTGAAAGCTGATAATTGTAGCTGGATCTCGATCGCAGAGTTGCGGCCCACTCTGTCTCTATTTCCCTGGCAACAAGAGTGGAAACTTGTACATTTAAGGGCCCAATCAGTGAATTTCTGGACCTTGGCACCAGCTTCTGCCTTCAGAACTTCATCTCCATTGCATTCTTGTAGTCATTCGTGCAACCTGCTAAGTTGGGATGGAAAGTTCTGAGCTATCATCCTAGAATGTCCGAAATTACTTGAATAAAGTGTAGAAAATGCTAACAGAAAAAGAAAACCTATTATCAAGTTAAACTGCCGTTGCCAACAACAAATTAACAAGATTCCCTGCCAACAGATGTTGCGATCTAGGCTTACAATTACAGTTTCTGTTCTCCATATTAACTACCTCAAGCTGTGATCAGATCTTCAGAGATAATAGCCAGAATCTTCCTATTTCAGGACTAATGAGAACTTGCTTCCCTCTTTTCCTAATTACATCAAGATGGATGTAAGGTGTATAGACCTAATACCCCTCTGCTTTTATTCTTTATTCCTCTTTCGTTAAGCAGTATTCTACATTCCTTCCATTAATTGTACCCTTTGTTTATGATGTCAAACAAACTAGGGGACATGCCCAAAAAAACAGAGAAGTCAGTAAGCACTGAAACTTGACAACTAATAACACTCACAACATATAGATATAGCTAGAACATAAATCAAATTGTACCATTCTTGAAAGCTAATTAAGATGGTAACAGCTATTACTTCTTAGCAACATGCTAACAGATATTTGTCACGTTAATATACCGATATCATGATGACAGTCCTTCGCTACTGTCTTCTGCCCTTTCGACCTAGATAGCACTATCTATTAGTAGACAAGCTCAAAATGAAAGCTTCATCAACTAGAGATGAAATTTTGGGTTCTAGGAAGACAAAGTAAACAGCATAGATGAGTTTATATATGGACAGAACAGGGATAACTTTTGCACTTGTGAGACTGAGAAGGCATGAAGACCAAGATCACAACATGTATAGACAGATTTAGTTCGCTGCAAGCATCTTCAATCATCAGTTCACATTACTTTATAATGGCAAACGAGTTCTTTGAGAACCATGCACACAATAAGATTATGTTTCTCCTGGTTACACATGTTCTTCCTTACTCAAGTATACAGTTAACATGAAGAGACTACAGCTGAATGCTGTAGCATTCAATCCCTAAATTTAGTCAGGTCTTGAACTTCTTGCTATACAAGGAGCCCTTTTTTGCATCCTGCTAATTCCCACTGAGCGTTCAGAACCCTTACGTCATACCTCTTAAACTTCAAATTTCTTTCCAAAAATTCTTCCGTAGTGTGAAACAAAAGTTCTAGCTATAATTCACAAGCATTGTCATCCCCACAGCAGCCATACGTGTTTTCTGAGATATTGGGAATCATTCACTCAGATGTGAACAACTTCAAGCTAAAAGACAGACATGTTCAATAAATGAGCATGCTCAATTGGTCATTACTGGTAAATGTTGGAAAATGTCAATTTTCTAGACAGCTTCCTCTATTTTCTTCCCAACTTTGGAAGGCAATTTCTCATTCATTCAGAATTGGTTTTGAGATTTCAAATATACCACGACAATCTACTCGACGAGTAGAACAAGTTGGTCTATTTACTTTTGTAATTTGACCATCGGATCAAATCCGAATATTTGGCCGAAGTTGACACGAAAATCACTTTTTCCAAGTTTTGGTTTTATCACTTAACCAAATTTCAATCTTTCAAACCAATTTCCAACAGTAAAGAACACTAAAATATTGTTCCTAGATCAAAACTCGGTGTTCTAAATATATAGTCTTCATTTCAATTTTCAAGCCATCCCCAGCAGGTTTTGAGAGAAAATATAAAGAAAACATGCAATATATTCTGTTCATATAAAATATTAAAAAAAAAAAAAAAAAGAGAAAACCCTTTAGGCACAAAAGAATTTAACTTTACATTTCCGTAAAATAATCAGTCATACAGCTTCTATATACATATAATGTGTCATTAAGAGTGTGTTTGGTAGAGATTTTTGGGAGGAAGAATTGATTTTTGAACAGTGATATGATGGGAAATGTGTGGTTGAAAAAGAAGAAAAAATTATTGATGTGATGGAAAATATTATTTTATTGAAGAATGTGTGGTTGAAAATGAGAATTGATTTACTGTAGAAAAGGAAAATTTTTACCAAACAGGAAGAATTGATTTTTGAACAGTGATATGATGGGAAATGTGTGGTTGGAAAAGAAGAAAAAAGTATTGATGTGATGGAAAATATTATTTTATTGAAAAATGTGTGGTAGAAAATGAGAATTGATTTGCTGTAGAAAATAAGAATCTGTACCAAACAGACCGTAAGTATTATACCTCTGTGCCATCACAGTTACAGTATCTGCCAGGCTCATTGTTCGACTCTGGCAAGCAGAAACACGGGAAGTAAGAAACGATGTCCGAAGTGCAGCTCTAGTAAAGTCATATGCCCCATTAGCAATGATCTTCTTGATCAACCCAGTAATTCCATACAACTCTTGTTTTGCACTCAAAAACCAGATTGAATCCAAAGAAATGCAGAGAGCGTCATTGAGAGTATGTGGATCTCAGGATCTGCCAACAAGATCAGACTCCCAGAGAGCTCCCAATCATGTGAACTAGCACCCTGAAAAAACGCCCTAACTCGATTCTATCTTGTCTACTAAGCTTCATCTCATTCTTCCCAGGCTCAGAATCTGAAGCAGCCAATCTGGATTTAAGTTTCTCAGCTTCACAGCTACATGTGGATATGCTCAAATCCTCTCGACTTACTAGCGGAGCTTCCCTAGAAAAAACCACATTCCCATTGCTTCCACCCTCAACTTTTGGCGAACAACTAATTGCAGTCTCATTTCCATGATGAATACCATTGCTCGGGATCGAATCTCCAATCTCATCAGTCATCAGTTTCCATTTCCATCACTTCCATTTGGGAACGCGGAGGCTACGATTGTGGCTCTGCCATATTGATTTCATCCCCAATATTCAATCCTTGACTTCTGATTTCAGTTTTGCTATCGTTTCCCACGCTAAAAACGTTTCCTGCATCCATTTTTAGTTTTCCGCTCAAACCGAGAACCTAACGCTACTGGGCAAACTGAAAACACTCATTTTTTCCAATCATCACCTATTCACATGCGTAGTTTTTTTCTTCTTTCATTGTCTTTTTCTTTTTTGAGCATCTGTCTGTTGATTAGGCTCACATGTTTTTAATATAAAACTAATCATCGTAATTAATTCTTAATTTATTTGGTCTATATTTTGGAATTTCTATGGGGTTCCCCAAAGTACTAGAAATATAACAAGTGAGTCATCAACCTTTTATTTATATCAAATTCACCCTTAACCTTTTGCTTTTATGGCAATTGTGTGCCAAAAGGACAAAAACTGTCCATTAAATTGTTGAATACTCGTTTCATATTTATATTGACACCACGGTATTTTACAAGTACACTATATTTTAATTACAATTAAAGTCCATAATCTATACTTTATTATCAAACTTATATCCTTGACTTTTTTCATTGCACTCTTATCCCCAATCTTTCATTAATTAACAAATCTTGTTCCTACGACGATTTCATGAGCTTAACAAAACTTATTTTTCCATCTAATTTTTAAATAAGAGAAAACAACAACAAATAGAAATGTGGGATTTAAAAATCACCCTTTTTAGAGCATGGTAATACAATTTTTGAATGAAAAGCAAAAAGTGCTAAGTAATGGAAGTTGGTGATAAGAATGCGATGAAAAAAAAAATTAGGAGCATAAATGTGTAAGGAAATATTAGAGATTGTAATGTAATTATATGATGTGTTTGAGCCTTTTTTTTTTTCTTTTTGCTGAAAGATAGAGTTTTGTAATAGTGAAATTTTAGAGAATGTGCGATTATAAAGTAGGAAAAAATTTTGAGTTTATGTGCAAAAATATTTTATTATGAGAATTTATTGTTGAAAATAAGTTTGGGAATGAATGGACTATAGATAATGAGGATCAAACATGTGCATAATGTGGGACATTTAGCCTAGTTGAAATTTGAAGGTTGAGATATTCAAATTTAGGGAGAATCATCACAAATTAAGATAGTTGTTTTCATTGGGTAAATAAAACCAAATTTGAGGGGGAAAGAAAAAAAGTGCGTTGTGAAATCGATCTTATAATAAAAACATCTTGTGAGATATTGAAAACACAAATTTCAGAGTGTACAGAGCAAGGAAAAAAAGTGACCATTAAGGGTATGGATATAACAAACCTAAAGGTTTATGATGATTGAATTGACTATGCACACGCACACATTGATCGAACATTAGATAAGTAAACATTCATTTTGATAGCATGATTTAGAAATCTTTTATGAATTGTTCAAACAATTTAAAAAATGAGAGCCAAGATGACAAGCTATTTAATGAATGATCATGCTACATGTACATAAAAGTTGATACATTGATTTACGCCCATGTGAATTGATCGATTTTGGTACATTGATATTGATAACACTTTTTCCAATCAATTATCAAAATTTTGACATAGTAGAGGTGTTAATCAAGATGTACACTTTGCATGTACAAATAGTTCAATCTTTTAACAAATTGATTGTTGTTTTGTTTGCTTGTGTGTTGAGTAGATAATATAGTTCAGGACGAACAAGATTTTAAGTTTGAGGGTATTTGNGTTGAGTAGATAATATAGTTCAGGACGAACAAGATTTTAAGTTTGAGGGTATTTGAAACTTGATAAAAATATAGGTAATTGAGTTGGTATTTATCTAATAAATATATTGGAGTTGATTCGTAGCAATTGGAGGTTAACTCGATTGTATGTGATCAATAAGAACCTGATTGGGTGGATATTTATGTAGTTTCGTTAACTAGAGTTTATTTGAAGCAATTGGAGGCTAACTTAATTGCACTTGATCAATAAGAAGCATTAAGATAGCAACCGGAGGAGAAGGATTTCAAAACATAAATTAGAGAGAAAAGAAAATAGAGAAAATAGAAGGGAGAAGATGAAGAAGCTAGGTTTTATGATTATTCTAGGAAAAAGGCGATTTTTGGGTGCAAATAGGAACGTCAACGAGTCAAATTGAGCTGGCTCGCGAGCCGAAATTTGAGGCTCTAGCTTAACTAAAAAATTTAGGCTCGACTCGAGCCTACTCACTAATTATTATTATTATTCAAATACAGCTGCTGCCATTGCCCAGGTAGCTAGCTGCTGCCCAAATGTAGCTTTTATTTTTTATTTTTTTATTTTTTCTTTTTGGATCATCACGAGCTGAAAATAGCTCGTGACACGGTTGACGAGCCACACGGCCAGCTGCTGCCAATGGGGCTCGGCCTGAGCCTCGGCTCGGTTCGAACCACTGGCCGCCCGAGCCCACGAGCAAAATTGACAACGTTAGGTGCAAGATCTTTCATCGTTTTCTCTTTTTTTCTATTAAATCTGATGGTATCTTCCAAACCTTTTTTATATTTTTCTTTTGGGTAATTAGCACATAACGTCATTATCTTTTACTATTATTGTGAAAAACATAGTTATCTTTCACTTTTTGACATTTTCACAATTATTTACACATTTCATTTTTTCATCAATTTTCTCAATTAAAAGTTGTAAAATGATGAATATACCCTCTTATTTAAATAAAATAAAAAGAAAAATAAAGAACTAATTGTAATTATAGTCCCAATTTTTTAAAAAAGGCAAATGAGTCACAAATAAATTAGTAAAAGAGTAATTAACACATAATGTCATTACCTTTCACTATTATTGTAGAAAACGTTATCACTTGTCATTTTTTTTTTTTTTTTGGCATTTTTCATATTTATTTCCACATTTCATTGAGCAAATTTTTTTTTATCTATTTTCTCAATTAAAAAGTTGTGAAATGATGAACATATTTTTCTATTTAAATAAAACAAAAAGAAAAATCAAGAACTAATTGTAATCATAATCCATTTTTTATTTTTAAATGTGGAAACGAGTCACAAATAAATTAGTAAAATGGTAACTAACACATAATGTCCATACATTTCACTATTCTTGTGAAAAACTCATTACCTTTCATTTTTTGACATTTTTATCCTTGATTACACATTTAATTGTGCAAATCATTATTTCTATAAATTTTCACCAAATTTCTCAATAAAAAATTGTGAAATGACGAATAACAAAAACATAATGTACTCCATAGCTTGAAAGTTTGTATTCCATTTTTAACATGGCGCAAAATTAAGATCCTAATTTTCACAACGAAACAATGAAAATCCTAGCTGAAAGTGAATTTTTTTTAAAAAAAAATAAGATGTTAGGGTTACACCATGCTTATCGAGGAATAATGTAACAGTGTTGATTTGATGTGACACAACAATTTATTGGGTTGATGAGATTTTGATTCAATCAAATCTTATTATTTATTGGTAAACAAACCTATAGGTTGTGATGCACATGTAGCATAATTTTTTCTTTTTTTTTATAATAGTAGTCCAGTTTCACTTAAATTATGTCATAAGGTAGCAACTTGTTTTGTGTTGGTCGCAAATTAAGCACATGTTTTGTGGGGAATAAATTCATATTTTTAATTAATTTTGATAAAAATTGAAGAGATGTGTGATTGAAAAACTGTGGGTCCCGTAAAATATGTGATTGAAATTAGTTATAGACTTTGATTTATATTAAAATTTGAATTTGAATTTTTAGAATAATTGACTTGAACCATTTTAGTTTTCGACCGAGCCTATTTGTTTGGTTAATGTTTATAAATTATTTATAATTGATCAATTTTTTTTCCCACATATTTCGTAAGATTCATAAGTATTATTCACTTATTCGATACTTTATTTTATCTTGGATGGAAAATTACAAGAAGAAGTCAATGCTAATCTTTTTTCAAATTTTAAAAATTAAAACATCCCATTTTCCAAATTTTTCAAAAAGGGGAAATCAATAATTTTTTCAAATAAAATAATATTTAATTTTTTGTTTTTCATTTTTTTAACATTTCGGTGAGGATATATTCCTTTCTTAATGAACTCCCTCCCAATTCCTATTGGTTCCCCTTTATACCCAAATCATATTCCTTTCTCCAAAGTAAAGAATTCTTTTCCCCCTTTCCTTTCCCATCTTTATAGGGTAAATTTCACCAAAATTTTAATGGAGTTACTAAACTTTAATACATCTCAATTAAATAACTGAAATTTAGTCCTAATTTCAAATTTCACAACACTTTCGCCTTCCAAATTGATGAAAATTACTTAATTGATAACCATATTGCAATAAATCTTTCGCTTGATATTTCCGTGCAATGCGAAATTTTCGTTACGTACGTAAATGTTAAAATAAAATATGCATTTTTATCATTTTAGTGAATAGTCATCACCATAAATTTCATTTTACTAATTATGTTTCTCGTAGCGATTATGTGAAACTTTAATTACGATGACTAACAAGTAACATTAAGCAACGTTTTTAATTTTCAATTTTAAATCACTTGAGGAGTGAGCTACTCGATTTAATTGATTTTCGATAGATTTTCAAACCAAATTATTTTTAATGATTTAAAAAAATTTAAATATAACTGAGATTTCCACAAATTTAAACCTAACGATTTGATTTTAAATCGTGACTTGATCATATATTTTTTTGTTCGCCTTATCGTAACTAATTCAACGACTATACAATATTTTCATACTTTATTTCATATAAAGTTTTTAATAATTATATTTTATTTTGGAGGTTAAAGTTGTAATATATCAATCTAATTTATTGTAAAAATTTAGTCCTGATTGATTGTCATTATTTTGAATAGTGAGTTTTTCGAAAAAGTCTTGTTAAAAAGTAGAAAGAAAGTTTTGAATTTACGAAAGAAATAATTTATTGTATGAATATATAGAGTTTGTTTGAGAGAATTTTTAATCAAATTAAAATTGAAAAATATAGCCGTTATTGGATCCCATTCGTCTAATAAAAGTCAACAATAACGATAAATTTTTCAATTTTAATCCGATTTAATTCTTCCCAAATAAGCTCATAGTTAAAAATAAAATAAATTTAGCTAGCTTAGCCCCCATTTGAACTATATTAAAATTTCTATTCTTATTCTTTTACTCATTTTCAACCACACATTCTTCAATAAAATAATATTTTTTATCACATCAATAACTTTTCCTTCTTTTTTAACCACACTTCTCCATTAATCCACTATTCCAAAATGAGTAATATCATTCATCCCACTGGGATTGAAACCTAGTTTTTGTGGCAATTATATGATATTAAATGATAGATTCATTTAAATACTAAGTCGCACGACTCATTTAATTGAGTTTATCATTTCATGTCATATAATTGCCACATAGAATGACGTTGAACCCCAGTTGGAATGAATATCTTTATTCTTCCAAATGATAAATTTATATGTACATAATGGATTAAATAGGCCCACGTGGAAAAAATTCGGTCGTGGATGTGAAGTATGGAAAAGTTAAAAATTGTAGGCTACCGATGGATGCGCGTCACATGTCAATTATGTAATGTATTATGTAAATAATTATGTACTTGTAGTTCTTCCAAAATACATTTTTTAATAATGTGGCTGACACCCTCTAATTTTTTTATTTTTTATTTCCAGTTTGACTGTTTATGCTCTCGCAAAAGAATCAGCTACTCTTTTACGTTGCCCTTTTGCACAATCTCATAAATTATAATCTATATATCCATTAACGCTGCACCCGCATTTCTTACTTTGTGATTTTGAAAACCCTAGTTATTTTTCTACTCTCGTTTTCCCGATTTAGATTGAAATCAATCGATTTTAGCTGAAGAATCAGTTAAGGGGATAAGATGGATGAAGAGTACGATGTGATAGTGCTTGGGACGGGTCTCAAAGAATGTATTCTCAGCGGTCTCCTCTCTGTTGATGGTCTCAAGGTTAATTTCGTTATTTTTTGTGTTTAGTTTGAGAAATCAAATGTTCGGAGATCATTGTGATTAGGATTTATTTACGCTCGGATAATTGGGTAACATGGAGAAAATTATTCGATACGGCCGATTTAGATTTCCGTTATTTCGAGATCGGACTTGTATTAATATCTGCTGGATTTTAGATCTGTTTGGTATTGAGTGCTTGCAGTTGTTAATTAATTTAAGATTTGCTGAAAGGATATTGTAATTCTACGTTCAAAAGTTGATATGAATCAATTAGGTCCCACCAAACAACTATTCATCTTTATTTATTAGCGATTCAAGTTCGACGCTAATTGGAATGATTTTATCGACGATGTGATCAATAATATTTAAGGAAATGGTTATAATTTAGTTTGGGTATTTTCGATCCACCAGGTTGAGTTCAATATCCAGGTGATTAGTTAGAGTTTGGTAATGATAACTTCAAGTTGAGATGAAATTTATGATTAATGACACGGGACGGGATCTGTTGTGACTTATATACTAAAATGCATGTCTAATGTAAATTAAGTGCACATTGACTCAATGCGAGTTTCTTTCGCACTTTCATCTTTTTTTCACAACAATAGTTGATATGGACATTATTTGCCTTTGAGATTTGACCATTTGAGCAAGAATTTTCAGTATAGTCGTGCATGTTAAATAATGGGTTTTCATGTAAGTTATCTATCCATTTGTATTCATTTGGCTGGATAATGTTTTGTGAAAACTTAGACATAGACACTCTGATGCTTAGCCTCTTTCAATTGCCTTGGTTTGTCGCAAACCAAATTTTGACTTAATTTTTGTCGAGTCCATTTGGTATATAATCATTTTGTTTTGGTTTGATATACTTTTGTTTATCATTTGCTTTTTTGTGATTCTTAATCTAATTTATCTCAAGCTTTCTGTGAACTACAGTGCTTAGACCAAATTTTGAGTCTTGTAAGTTCCATAAGGTGATGTTTAAGGAAAGGTTGTACAATAACTGAAGTGATATTTCCATATGCTACATTTTGCCCTTATAGATCTATGCTTTTTTGTCTTTTTCTTGTCTTACCATGTGGGGGATATGTGACCGATAGTTTGTACATTATTCGTGTCTATGTTTATGCCTTTTTTTTTTTTTGGTTATAACATTTTCTCTGTACTCCTGTGTAAATTCTAAATACTATTTATGGCTTACATATTTTATCTAGCAGAACCTGAACTTTAAGCCTTTGGTTATTAGGTCCTGCACATGGATAGGAATGACTATTATGGTGGAGAATCTACTTCACTTAATCTTATTCAGGTACTCCTTTCTTTTATATTTGCAAGAGATATGTAAATGAACATAAACACCCTGTGCCCCTGTTGTCCCTGCTCCCTTTGCTGGAATAAAGTGCACTATATGTGCTATTCTTTTGATGGAAATTATTATTACACAGCTCTGGAAGAGGTTTAGAGGAAGTGATAAGCCTCCAGCTCACTTGGGTTCTAGTAGAGATTATAACGTCGACATGATTCCAAAGGTTTATATTTGACCTGATATCTGTTTAAATATCCTTTACTGCAGTTCTTTTTATAATTCTACTCTGATTAGTATATTTGATGATTCCTCAGTTTATTATGGCAAATGGTACTCTAGTACGAGTCCTTATCCATACTGATGTTACTAAATATTTGTATTTCAAAGCCGTTGATGGCAGCTTTGTCTACAACAAAGGAAAGGTATAATCATTTGTGACTAATGTCTAAAACTGCCTTCTTCTTTGGGATATAGTTTTTTAGTTTCTTTCACGTAAAATCACTGAATATCAATGTATTTTTTACCATACTGCAACAGATTCACAAGGTTCCAGCGACTGACATGGAGGCCCTCAAATCTCCTCTCATGGGTATTTTTGAAAAGCGTCGTGCTCGTAAATTCTTCATATATGTCCAAGACTACATCGAAAATGATCCTAAAACACACGAAGGGATGGATTTGACAAGAGTCACGACTAGAGAGCTGATTGCGTATGCTCTCAATCTTACCCTTTCCTCATCATAGCATCGTGTTATATGTGCTTTGTAATCTTAATGTCCTTGTCTGAAGAAAGAAAATCTTATACGTAGCATGTTTGAACAGACATTCTCATACGAGGAAACAAAATGTTATTTTGATAGACTACATTATATGCATGATATCCTCTTTCTCTTACTCTTGACAAGTGAGCTTGGAACTTTTATGCTTATGGAACTTTGAACGTCTGACAGAAAGTATGGCCTTGATGACAACACTGTGGACTTCATTGGCCATGCATTGGCTCTCCACAGAGATGACCGCTACTTAGATGAACCAGCGCTAGATACCGTGAAGAGGATGAAGGTTCTTTGTTTGCTCCCAAGAAACTCTTTAGTTTTCCTTTTGATGTTTGTATTTAGGATTCTTAAAAAGTTAACGAGTTTGTGTACTTCTTTTGTTTCTCATCAATTGCCAGCTTTATTCTGAGTCTCTAGCACGTTTTGCTGGAGGATCACCGTACATTTATCCTTTATATGGCCTAGGAGAGCTTCCCCAGGTTTGCCTCTTTCTTCTCTGTAATTGCACTTCCCATTCCTTATTTTCTTATGCAATAGTTTATTTGCTGATTTATAACTTCTTCTCTTTACTCTTCTCCCTCTACCTTATATTTTCCTGTCTCTCTTTCTTTCCCCACGTGTTTTTAGGCATTTGCTCGTCTTAGTGCTGTGTATGGTGGGACCTACATGTTGAATAAGCCTGAGTGCAAGGTATTTGATTCATATCTCTTACTCCTCTCTCTCTTTCTGTTCCTTTTCCCTTTCCAACGCATCTCCTGTTTATGTACATTAGAGAACAAATGGGACATTCGGAGGCATCCTTTTCCTCTTTGCTTATCACTTATTTATAAGACTGAAAGAATATGTATAGTTCTACTCCTGCAGAGGTCATGGCTATTTATGTTATTACTTGTGTAATTGTTTAATTGTTTTCTTCCATTCTTGCCTCTCTCATGTTTTATTTATCCTTTTTAACTTTGTTTCGATGTTATTTTTTTTTCTGTTGTAGTTGTTATAAACTTCTTGTTAGGAAATATTGTTGATTTGATGTTATTATCATCGTCACTGTTGCATGCAAAATTGTCTTTTTTCTTGTGTTAATATCTGTTGTTGGTTTTTTTATCTTTCCTTCTTTTTTGGCATGGATCCTTTGTTGTAAGCCTGAAACAATATTTCTCAAATGCTAGGTAGAGTTTGACGAGGAAGGAAAGGTGATTGGTGTTACATCGGAGGGGGAAACTGCTAAGTGCAAGAAAGTTGTATGTGATCCTTCCTACCTGCCTAACAAGGTAAATCTCTTTCTGAATTTTGTGTTGGTGGCTTCTATCTCATAAACGATTTGTCCTAATAACTATACTTCCACATCTCCATCTAAAAGTACTTTTGAACCAGTTATGAACTCTAATATATATTGTCCGTGTTATAGCAGATGCATGCTATGTGGTCAACTTCATTATGGTTCCAAGCACTACCACTAGATTCCTTCTCTGTAAACCTGAATATCCATATACCACATATACCACTATTTGTCAATAACTTGAGGAATATTGCAGGTTAGGAAGGTTGGCAAAGTTGCAAGGGCCATTGCAATCATGAGCCATCCAATTCCAAATACCAACGATTCTCACTCAGCACAGGTTATTCTGCCTCAGAAACAGTTGGGTCGCAAATCAGATATGTGAGTAATCTTATAAGTGAAGGCTAAAAAGATTAATTACATAGTTTATTAGTTATCTTCAATGGAAACTCTGGCCATGAAGATTAATTAGCTGGTTTAGTAGTTCTTTTCAAGGTTCCTTTTATTAGCTGCTTTTGACTTATTGATTTGAGTGGCTGAGATAAGAGTTAAACAAGCATTGACCGATGTTAAAGATAGATTAAAGTGAGCAGAAACTCAGATGGTGCAATAGCCATTGTGGTTTTTGCGTAATTTTATGGTCAGATTTTTAATTTACGTTATATTTTAGGGGAAATTACACCTGGAGTCCCAACCTTTTGCTTATAGTTGCACTTGTTCTGGCAACCAATTTCGCTATCCATTTTGGGTCCCCCAACTTTCAATTTTGTTATATTTCGATTCTCAGTGGACAGAAAAAATGGATAAAGACAAATAATTTTAATGAACAAATAGAAGAAATGTAATTGAAAATAAAATATAAGGAGTAAAATAAGAATAATCCCACAATCACCACCCCTCTGGCTTCCATTTCCCCTCCCTGACTCGGTTGGCTGCTTCCCCTCATCCCCCATTCTACTGGTTCTCCATTCCAAACATCCCCCAAATCCCGTGTTCCCTCCATTTCCCCTACTCCCTGCCTGGATGGCAGTTTAAGGGTGTTGGAAGTTTAGGGAAGAAGGGCTTGAAGAATTTGTTTTTCATTTCAACTTTTTCCTTTTCTGTTTTCTTTTATTCCCTTTTTATCTATCTTTTGCTTTAATTGAAAATAAGAGTCCCATTGTCTTTTCAACCAAACTTTTGACTTTTTAAAGGCCAAATTGATGGTTCTATATACTGGGGACCCAAGCACTACAAATTATCCCCCCTAGTACCTAGAAAATGTAGTTGGGGGACCCAAGTGCTATATTAAGCAAAAGTTGGGGACTGGAGGTGTAGTTTTCCTGTTCTTTTATTTAAGGGCAGTATCTCTTGTCAATTTTGAATTTTATCCTGATCAGCAATACCTAACACCTCATATTGTAGCTGCAAACCTCTTTAACATCTGATGTGATGGATTGATGACCCTGCAGGTATCTGTTTTGTTGCTCTTATTCTCACAATGTTGCTCCAAAAGGGAAATTCATTGCATTTGTCTCGACAGAAGCAGAAACTGATCACCCTGAGACTGAACTCAAGCCAGGAATTAATCTTCTTGGACCTGTTGATGAGATCTTCTTTGAGACTTATGACAGATATGAACCAGTCAATGAACCCTCTCTGGACAATTGCTTTATATCAACAGTAAGTTTCTGTTGAATTTGATTTCATTTGAATACACTGCTGATCTTTGCTTTCGTAGCATGTATGTGCTTATTTTGTTTCATACGACAGAGTTACGATGCGACAACTCACTTTGAATCGACTGTGGTGGATGTGCTGAATATGTATACCCTCATTACTGGAAAGGTAAGACTTCAAAATTTTTGGGTTCGAAATATATTTCCTTCATTTTGAATTTTCCACTCAATTTGTATTTTTTGATACTTCCATACTCGAAGACACGTTAAATGTAACTTTGGTGCTCCAATGTTACACTTGTACTGCATGATACAATGCCGATACCCTGATGAGGACATTTAATTATGCTGACCCAACAATTTAGTTATCTAATATGTTAGATGAAAACCATTTGGTAAATTGATCCTTAACAAATGAGTTTGTTAGGAGGAGCCAATACATTATGTATTTGAAAATTTTGGCCATTTTTAGATACTTTCACTTTGCTGGGCAATTTAGTCTTGCTTAATATGATAATATAAGGTTAGTAAAAATAGGAATGTTATTTTTCATTTAATTTTATGTAAATCAGGAGCTCTAAGTCTGTTTTTTGAACTGGTAAAATTGTGCATATCAATGTATCTAAAACTCAAGCAAGGCTACACATAGTTAAGAAGACATCTCGACTCTTTAAGATTATGCTATCAAATGCATTATGAGTGAAAAGAGCTAACAATGTTTCGCCAAGAACTTGTTTGGTGGGCTGCTGATTGCCTGAATCATTAGTTATCTGTACTGGTATTAACTGGATGGCCTGGAACCCAATTTTTACTTTGTAAAAGATGCTGGATCCCATTGTAGCCAAGTGTGAGGTTAAGCTTCGAAAATTCAGTAACATTCCTAAATTTTCTTAAACGTTTGATAGAAAAGGCACATCATGTGCTAATGTTACACAATTTGTCTTAGAAACCACTTTTTGACTAGAACTCAATAGTTGAACGGAATTTCATTGTTTTTTATTAATGATTTTGTTGCTGATGCAGGTTCTTGATCTTAATGTGGATTTAAGTGCTGCCAGTGCCGCAGAAGAGTGATGAAACGCTGTTTGTTCGTGAACTTTTATGTGTTGTGTGCTGCCGAATTCTCAAGGATAAGCAAAAGCTCATGGTAAAATTTGTCTTGTAAAACTGGTGTCAAAGATATGTTTGTTGCTTAATGTGGTGGTCGTTGGAATCCTGTGCTGAGCTTTTCTTATGCATCTCTAGGAATGATTTCGAATATATAAGATGACAAAGCTGTCTGGGAAGTTGGAACAATTCTCTTATTTTCACAATGCTACTTACTATATTTGTGTTAAATTAGCCGTAGAAATTAAAATATGGGGATTCTAATCCTCAATATAATGGCTTAAGCTGCCTAGGTTCTAAATTTGAATGAATGTTTGGCTTTTGAGATTACTCCTGTTATTTAATGAAAGAGGTACTTAAATTATTCTCACGAGAAATTTTTACGTAATTGTATAGTGATATTCCTTATAAAGAGTTCGTATGAGAAAAATTGAACCCCAACTGGACCTGAGTCTCAAGGATTTTGCAATTTGTCTTTGTCCGGTGTGTCGAGCCCACCAATAAGCAATTTAGACATCTTGAAAGGAGAAATAAAATCCATGTAAAATTTTTGTTTGATTAAAACTAGTACATGCAAACTAATAAATTCTTCCAAACACAAAACTTGTTGTCTACTTTACATGCTTAGAATAAATTTTTCAGAATAGAGAAAAACAGATTGAAAATTGCAGAATAGTAAGAACAAAATGCATAAA